GCCGAAGCGTCAGCTGAAGCAGCAGCAAATGCGGCTGCGGCAGAAGCTGCTGCGCCAGTGCCGAAACCGCATCCTGCTCCTCTAACACTTCAAGACTTCATTGACGATGGAGATGTGACAGAGATCCCGACTATTCAGGTAAAACAGTATTTTGTCGAATTCAAAATTTCAATATTCCTTTTAGAGCAACCGGAAAAGCAACACCCTTCCAATATGGGGTAATCAGCAAACTATGAATCTTAACGGTCTGGTGTTAGAAAATGTAAAGGAAAGCTACTATTACAAGAACCACTTGGTTGAAATCGATACCGCACAACAATTACTAGATGAGGTCTTCTATAAGGTTCGCAATCTTCTTTTCCATAAAAACAATTCTCATTTCTGTTTGTTTCCAGGTCAAACATCTCGAACCATGGGAGAAAGGAACGCGCAAAGTGCAAGGAATGACGGGAATGTGTGGCGGGGTAATTTTAGCCACATCTTTACCATCACTCGTAATTTTAGACTATTCAGGTCCGAGGTGTCGGAGCTGGAGGTGTTGTTAGTTCTGCTTTTTGTCTGCTTTATCGATTTTTCAAGGTTCGCCTCACAAGGTAAGAAGTTCTTACAACTCGTTTTTCTTCAATATTTTTAATTGATTCCATTCCAGAAAACAACTGATTTCTATGATCAACAGTCGGGTTTCACCATATATAAGAGGATTAGGATTCATGTACATTCGTTATACTCAGCCACCAGCAGATTTATGGGAGTGGTTTGAGCCATATTTGGTACGTAAATAAAATTCAATATAATATTATCAGTTTCTATCATGTTCTTTAGGATGATGAAGAAGAGATCGATCCAAGATCTGGTGGTGGGGATGTGATGACTTTCGGGCAAGTTGTTCGAATTATGCTTACCAAGCTAGACTGGTATGGTACCCTGTTCCCAAGAATTCCAGTTCCTATACAGGTTTGTCAATAAGAACTTTGAATAGACTTAATTAGTTTCTTATTTAATTCTAGAAAGAAATCGACGAAAAGTTCGCGGAACGGAAACGAGCTCTCTTGTTTGGCGATGGACACCTCGATCATCGTGAACGGGAACGGGACGAAGATCGGTGAGTCAAAAGGCACGTGTTTCTGTCATTTCCACTGAATTATTTCCATTTTGCGTCAGACTCAACGAATTTTCATTTTCGATGCCCCCCCC